TTTAAAACCTTTTTGAACCTCAGTTTCTTCTATAAAATGAAGTTAATAATACAAACTTCACAGGAAATTTAAATGAGGTATTTAACAGTACCTAAGGCAGCGCTTGGAAAATTATAAAATTGTTAGATAGAAATCCGAAGAGTAGACTGCTGGACGCAAACTTCCTTGCACTGGACTTTGAGCACCCTGGCTGTGTGGAGAATGTTTCCAAGTGTGGGTACATGCATGAGCAAGCAGGCCAAGAAGCCGACCTCAACACAAGCAGGGTCTTGTCCTCCCTCCCAGGACATCAGGGAGCAAGCCATACTCACTAAGTAGATTTCCTGGCTGTATGGGTTTCCTGCTTTGATCTTATAGTCTTCAAAAATGATTCTTGACCTCTCTCAGCTATGTATAAGGAAGCAAGGGAAGAAATCTCTTGCTCACATTTAAGCTTGCGGTTTGAAGTCTTTTCCTGCCCTCCTACACGCCCATCCTTGGCAAAGGAGAAACCCAGGGAGCTGGTCAGGACCCTGAGCTACACTGGGCCATACACACTGCAGGGGGTCCTTTTTTGTCCATACTGCAGAAATTAAAGAATTTTAATTTATCAAGAAAAACAGAGTTTCCTTATAGAGAGATATCACAGCACCGTGACTTAAAGACATTTTGCTTTGGAGCTTTCGCTGCAGTCCCTACCTGTTCTATGATGAACCCATCTTTGCATTGTTTCTTGTCAGAATGCTATCAAAAATCATTTTTTAAATCACATACATCTTTAGCATACTAAAGCAATACAGAAAACAACTTGTGTATTTCTGCCTTTAACACCGGGCTTCCTCTAGTCCTTAGCTCTGTGGACCACATGCCCACATGGTATAGTTAACCTTTGCTTCAGCTCTGTACTGTTGTGCACTATGCATGCTTTATTACAAGATAAAAGTGAATTTGGTAAGAAATGTTTAAATGAGTTCTTAACGGATCAACTAAAGCCAAATGGCATCAGAATTCTACTTCTTGGTAAACAGTATTATTCTTAAATTGTACTTTATGTTCCTGGATTAAACAAAGACCACTGAAAACTAAAGTCAGTGTGAGACTGGCCTGCAGGAAAGGATCCTTAACATCTTGGCACTTCTTCCAAGTAGTCATGCAGAGCTCTAAGAAGAAAAGCTGTCCTTTGCTGTGGTCAGAGACATCGCCCCAAGAGAGCGGTAGCTACAACATTTATTAGAGGTTTAAGACCA